ACTAGTAATTTAGGATCGTAGGTTCTTGTCCCTAAGAAAACAGAAAACGAAAAAACAGGGGAAAATCAATTAAATTCAGCGTTCAATCGCAGCGAAATATATATACAGGATGCGAGAAAAGTTCCCGTGCGCGCTTAAAAACAACTTTTTTGCAGAAAGAACATGCATTATAAAATCAAAGAGTTTCTTATCGAAATATGAAAAAGTTTCTGCAATTATTATATTAATTATATTAGATATTTCATCAAGAAAAAAAATAGATATCACACAAGAAATATTTAAAAAATACTCTGAAAAAGATCAACGCGCGCGCGCGCGCGCGAATATTGTTCGTCAATATTAATAATATAATTTCAATTTTGACACAATTTTTTTCCGGGAAACAAGAACAATTGATTTCTCTCTTTCATTTTTTATTAAATTTTTTTTTTTCAGCTTTATCATAAAAAAAAATTTTCTTTGATTTATTAATAATTTCTCATCAATTTAATAAGAGTCTTAATTCTTATTAAATTATTTTCTTATTTTCCATATTTCTCAATTTCTTGTTAAAAACATTATTATTTTACTTGTTACATATTCTTTCTGCAATAGCAGACTCATTTTGCGGTACTTGATTAACTGCGGATTATAATGCGAACGGGAACGATCCTGGCGTCCTGCGAGGCGCGTGGTTTTTCGTTCGCGGACGAATCTTGAATCGGATATATGAGAAAACGGTAAAAGAAAACCTTGTAGAGTCCTTCGTGGTGCGTTTGTCTATCCGTTTGGTTAGGTCGAAACATTTGCATTTGCGCACACGAACGGGAATCGTCCGACTCTCTCGACAGAGATCGAGTAGTACTTTTTCTACTTCCGAGATTCAGCTGGTTCATATCTTCCATGTTGACGTTCTGCCGACGATCATCTTCGGACGATGAAAAAGGATTGTTTGCAAAATTATTACAGGGAGGGGCGTGGAAACGAAGAAGGCCACACAGAGTTGAAACGAAGAACGAGGGCGCGGTACAGTCGTCAAAAAGTATCATTTCTCTTATTGATTCTTCGTATAAATAAGTTTAGGAGGATTTGCAAAAAACTTTGCGAAGAAACTTTTTGCAAAGAAATATATTTCGGAGTCAATGAGATGCGAGAGAGATTGAATGAAAGGCCACTTTATTCCGTGTTTTTTTTTTCTCCCAGTTTTCCCATGCTTTCATTCATAGTCTTTACAGCTGTTTAATTATAATCTTGATTGATGTTCAACCAAATAATTCTGCGCGCTGATTTTGGAGGATTTTATTTTGACCGCGAAATGTGCTATTTGGGTAAAGTATTATAATATTTATTTGACGAGAATTTTAATCACGTGTGTCAGTTATTTAAAAAAATTCTTGAATATTTTAAATGTAAATAATACTTTTGGAAACTGTGTTGACTTTATATTATATATTACAAATCATTCTGCTTTCAATATATTACGTATTAATATTCGATTAGCCAGCATTTATTTTCATCGGTTTCGATTCAAATTCTGGTATTTAATACTAATAGTTAATCGTTAATATCAGCATATTATAAAAATATGTATGCTAAAATAACGTAAATCGGTGAAAGTGTTATCCCAACACCTGATTATCTTATTTATCATATATTAATACATTTTCTTCACTTATTAATACAACTTATCAATCCCTCCCCTCGATCAATTTTTTAATTTTTAAACAATTTCAAAGTAATTTTTATATTTGATTGCATGTCACAGTAATTAAAGTTCAATCTTCGCAAAGAGAAGAAAGTATCGTAGTAGAAAACTGAGAGTGAGAATATCGGGACGCCTCTCGAGGATTTTATCTCGTGGCACAGTCCGACCCCGAATCTCCTTTTCTCACGGGGTACCTTTCGCCCTACTATTTCGTACCATCCTATATGTATGTACGCGGGACACGTACGTAACAGTTGCGAACAACGGCGTGTATGCATCGTACAACGGGAAAAGCCGGTTCCCACTGAACACTCCGTTACTACGTGATAGAGAACAAGGGTTCCAGAAGAAAGAGAGACAGAGAGAGCTCTCCACACACAGGGGTGAAAAGAGGGAGAAAGAGAAAGAGAGAGACTTTGCGTGGCGTGCCTTGTGTGCGGCCTACATACATATATAGGGTGTCTCAAACATACTATTTGCTATCTTTCAATTTTAGAAAATTCGTATTTAATGAAAAATAAAGACTTTTATAGAGACTGTGAATTATAAATTATTGGAAAAATTAGAGAATTGTAATGAATAAACTTTGAGATAGTGAAATAATAGAGAATAACAATAAAGAATTAATGAGATGTCTTTTCTCAGATTTAGATTTTAGTTAAATTTTATGTGAAGTTTTGTTTTGCAAAGATATTTTTATCAAAAATTGAAGGTACGCGAATTTAAATGGATACTATTTTATTATGAGAAGATTGTTTATCGAATTTAGCAACGCGAAATTTAACTTGGGCACCCTGTATATTGCATGCGTGACGTAGTGGATGAGTCAGCTGGTGGAAGGAGTATTCGTGAAATTTGTCAGGAAACTTTCTGGAAATACATACGCCAAAAAGCAGGATGTGCTACTTTCAGAGCAACGATAATAGTCGAAGGATTATCAATATTTGATTGTCTCACGGTAGTTCTATAATCTCGTTTCCGTCTTTAAGTCCTCGAACAAAGACTTTCAACACAAAGATATTTAAGACTATAGATACTCGAATTTCTTCTAACATTTCTCGAATCTTCGAGGGATATATACATACATATATATTATCTGGATTACAATAATTTTTAAGTAAATAAAAATACAACTTTTTTAGACGGTTTGAATTTTTTTAAATAATTTTGCACATATTATATATTTAATATTTTTTAAATATGTAGATATTATGAGAAAAACACCTGTTCAATATTGTTATAAAACAATTCAATAATATTTATATGAAACAAAACATGTTTTCTTAGATCAAGAAAATTCAGAAATTTATTCATTAATATAAGAATTTATTATTAATATAAGAAGTAAAAATTCAAGATGACTTTCGAAAGAAAAAAAACTTAGTCATTAAGTTGGAAAAATAAGGCTCAGAAATATAAATTCTTCAATTAACTTACTGCCTAAATTGGCGGGATGATAAAAATGTTCGCTCGAATACACACGATGATGTCGATGAAGAGGCGTCGTTCCAAGAGAATATTGCTTATCACAAAACATACCACGCACACAGTATCACCTTTCGTTTATCAATGATCTGCTTGAAACTCAACTCGATCCGTCCACGCGCGGCGAGAGC